AATGCAGAAAAGGGAAGTGACTGTAAAACCATGTAATTCTTCTTCAACTAAAATAGCCAGGGGGAGGGAAGTAACATGTAGTTAGTGGTTGAACGTAATCCCCACGTTTCGTGTTGTTTTTGCTTTTACGTAGGCCACTATGCTATGCGTGTTTGGTTTGAAGATTCACACAGTAGTCCTCAATTTACAGCAGTTCATCTAGTGACCGTTCAAAGTTACAGTGGCACTGAAAAAAATGATTTATTACAATTTTTCACATTTAATAACTGTTGCAGCATACCTATGGTCGCACCATCAAAATTCGGACGCTTGGCAACTGGCAGCATATTTATGACAGCTGCACTGTCCCGGGGTTACGTCAATCCCTTTTTGTATCCTTCTGATGAACAAAGTCAACAGGGAAGCCTGATTCACTTTATAACTGTGGCAAGAAAGGTCATAAAATGGGGCAAAATTCACTTAAATGCTTTTTAGCAAGAGAAATTTTGGCCCCATTGTGGTCATAAGACGGGGACTACCTATACTTCCATTTGGGTCAATTCACTTAGGTTTGCATCCCACTCTTAGGGGCATTAAGAGGTGGACACCTTCAGAGCCGTTCATGCATGGGCTCCAAGTCTCTCCTGGCTTGACAGGTAGCAGAAGCATAGAAATAGTTGCCACTCGAAGCAGATACCCCCCACCCCACCCCTGTTGGCTTTGCAGTAGGTCCTGCTTGATTCTGAACCATTGTATTCCTTCTCTAAATACAGAGAATTCATGCAGCCAAAGACGCTTTAATCTTAAAAGGGATGAGAAGGCATGATAGCATCGGTATCACCAGCCCCTGCACTGGGTATTCGTGGTCGCCGGTGACCACTTTAGGTAGTGGGGCTGTTTTTCCCCTAACTCGCTTGGGCTTTGTTTTCCAGAGAGCTTCCGCTCTACAGTAATGCTGCTTCTTTTTAAGGTATTTGATTTACGCCAGTGTCACCGCCAAATGCAGCAGCAGGCTGCCACAGCACAAGCCGCAGCGGCTGCTCAAGCTGCGGCTGTGGCAGGAAACATCCCCGGGCCAGGATCTGTCGGAGGAATTGCTCCAGCCATCAGTAAGTACTCGGTGACACAGGTCATCCCTTGGTTCAGTATATCTTTAAATGCTTTCAGCAGAAAAAAGGAAAGTCAGAGAATCGCATCAGGCGTTCTGCATTTCTGGTAGTTTAAAATCCAAAACACATTTTAGTTTCCAAGTATACTTGTAAGTTAGGATTTAAAGCTGCTTACTTCTGGGGTTTGTTTTTTTTCCCTCTATTTGCTCAGCACGCTTACCTTCCGGACGGCAGCCCTTGACTTAGAACCAGTCGCCTAGCGACTGTTTGGAGCTGCCATAGGTCTACTTGGGGGTTACTTACGACCCAAATTCAAAGTCCTAACGGTTGTGCCCCCCACAACCCGCAACCTTGTGTGTGGTCACAAGACTGCACTTTGATTGCTTGGCAGCTGCACCAGTTTATGGCATCCCTTGGTCACATAACCGTTGTGTAAGAAAGTGGTTTTTTTTTTTTAATTAAAAGTTTTGAAAATTTTTTACAATATATAACCCACCCCTCCCCCACTTCCCAGAGCTGATTACAGGGTTACAAATAAACAATCATAATCTAACAAACATTACCCAACTCTACTAACAATCAAATCCATAACATACTTTAACTCCTTTTTCAAAACAAATATTAACAAATTAAAAATAAAAATACAGTTAAACCAACACTAAAAATAGTACAAATTCAATCATATTAAACTATTAACAATAACATAAAATCTACTCATAAGCAAGATAATACTTTTCAGTCTCATATTTCTTTTGAATATAATCAACCCATCTTCTCCAAACCGAGATGTATTTTTCTTGTGAATGGTCCTTCAAATAAGCGGAAATTTTTGCCATTTCTGCTAAGTTAGACACCTTAAGTATCCATTCTTCCATAGTAGGCAAAGAATTTTTCTTCCAATTTTGCCCCACCAATAATCTTTCAGCTGTTATAAGATCCAACATCAAATTAATTTCTTTAACATCAAAATCAACCGTAATACCCAACAAGAATAATTGTGGAGTAAACTTTATCTTTCTCTTAAAAATCTTTTAAATATTCCACCAAATCTTAATCCAAAAAGCTTTTATATCTCTACAAGTCCACCAAATGTGAAAATAGGTTGCATCTAAGCTTCCACATCTCCAACATTTGGGCTGTAAATTAGGATACATGCGGGACAACTTTTGGGGGTCCAAATGCCATCTATAAAACATTTTATAAAAATTTTCTCTTAAGTTTTGCACTTGAGTAAATTTTACATTTCTAACCCAAATTGTCTCCTATATATCCAATAAAATTGGTTCTTGAATATTTGAGCCCATTTAACCATACAATCTTTAACTAACTCCGTTTCAGAATCTAATTCTATGAAAACATTATAAATTCTCTTTATTTGGGCTCGAGTTTGATCTTTAATCTGTTTTACCAAATTTGCATCCTCTAAAGTAATTCCAACCTTTTGATCTAGAGTCCACCTCCCTAACAATTGATTATACTGAAACCAAGAGTATACAGTATTTTCTTGCTTCAGCTCAGTTAAAGACTTTAGTTTCCAATCCTTCCCTACCAAACTAAGTAATTCCTTATAAGAAATCCTATCCAAATTCACACCCCTAGATATTCCCTCTATCGTGTGTCCAGGAATTCCCCAAATTGGAATTTTATAATTTAACCTATAATAATACTTCTTCCAGACACGCAACAAAGCACTTCTCAAAATATGGGATTTAAAAACCTGGTCCAGGTATCCATGTACTAAATCCCATCCCTCAAGAGAAAGGATATTTTTATTTGTTAAGTTAAGCCAATCACTAATCAGCGTTAAAAGCCACTGCATCAAAGTACAGTTTTAGATTAGGCGCCTTAAGTCCTCCTCTTTCCCGTACATCTTGTATAATCTTAAACTTAACTCTTGGTTTTTTCCCTGCCCATATAAACTTATTAATCCCCTTCTGCCAGTCCTCCACGTTAGCATCTTTTTTCAAAATAGGTATCATTTGAAACAAAAAAAGAAACTTTGGAAGAATATTCATTTTAACTGCTGAGATTCTTCCCAGCAAAGATAACTGTAATTTTTTCCAATCATTTCAATCCTTTTGAACTTTTGCCCATAATGTCTCATAATTATTTTTATACAATTTAACATTAGAAGCTGTAATATATACTCCTAAATATTTAACCTTTCTTACTATTTCAAAACCTGTTAATTTAGCCAAAATATCCTTTTCCTTCATAGACATATTTTTTCGGTAATATTTTAGTCTTAGTATTATTTACCTTAAAGCCAGAAACCTTGCCATACTGAGTTAAAATTTCAACCAAATCCCTAACCGAATTTGTCGGTCACAACCAAATCGTCAGCAAAAGCTCTCAACTTATAATCATTCTTATTTATTTTTATTCCCTTAATTCTAGATGATTCTCGAATTTTAATAATATCTCCATAGTTAAAACAAATAACAATGGGGATAAAGGACATCCTTGTCTAGTACCCTTTTCAATGTTAAGTGCATCTTTTAATCCCCCATTAACTATAATTTGTGCAGAATGTTGTTGATATATAGACTTAAGAGCATACAAAAATTTATCCCCAAAGTTCATTTTCTCTACCACTTTCAATAAAAATTATCAATCTAATTGATAAAACGCTTTTTCAGCATCCAAAAAAATCAAAAGCAGCAGGGATTTGGTTGTTCTTGTCTAGATACTCAATTAAATTAACAATTTGTCTAACATTATATTTCATGTATCTTCCAGTTATAAATCCAGATTGATCACTATGAATCAAATGCTTCAAAACAGTAGTTTGTTGAACCATCACTAAAAAGGTTGTAAAATTGGCTTAATCACGTGACTGACCCTCTTTATAACTGTCACAAATTACCATTGGAAGCTGCATTGCAGTCATTAATTCTAGGATTACTGTATAACTTCACTCAATATAACTATGATTAATCAAACCATGATTTGCAGACCTCCAGCCTGTATAAATGGAGAATGCAAGGAGCATCATGAGGAACCTCCTATTTTGAAGAATCTTGAGGTCTGAAATGCAGCTGTGCTGTTAATTACTCTTTAAATGCTCCCCGAATTATAGGCTCAGTGAAATAGAGGTTAGTTAACTAGACCAAGAAATTGAGGTACATTTTGGAAGAAATGACAATCTGCTCCCATAAAGTTTTAAAAGAAACTAGAGAGATATTCATATAATCACAAGGAGTTGAGCTTTATTTAAGAGAAGCTGCATCTTTATTGGGATATATAGCAAGCTTTTTTTTCCCTAACAAGATGCTTGAAAATTTCAATGTTTTATTTATCTAAATTTATTACCTGCCCAACTCCAATGCACTGTATTTTTTTTCTGTTTCTAATGCTGGGATATATAGCGTAGACACATGCGTGTGTGCACACACAAATTTTTAAACAAAATACTTGAAAATGTCCAGGTCTTGTTTCTGTATACGTTTCTTTAATTATTTGAATTTATTAGCTGCCAAACTCCAAAGGGCTTTATTTTCTTTCTGTTTCTAAATGACAATCTGAACAAACCAAAACTTGTAGAGGGGTGAAGCACCTTCTTCTAAAACTGGGTTGGTGCCAGCACGTGGTTTGATGAAAGATGTTGATAAAAAGAATGTTTAATATCCCTGTTCTGCATTAGGTTTGTCGGCAGCTGCTGGAATCGGCGTGGACGACCTTCGGCGTCTGTGCATCCTCAGGATGAGCTTTGTGAAAGGATGGGGACCCGACTATCCACGCCAGAGCATCAAGGAGACTCCCTGCTGGATTGAGATCCATCTCCATCGCGCCCTTCAGCTCCTGGACGAAGTCCTCCACACCCTGCCGATCGCAGATCCCCAGCCCTTAGACTGAGACCGCACAGCTGTGAGCCACGACGGAGGAGCGAGGAGGGTGGATTGTAAAATACCATTTTGTTTATTACGGGAAGATATATTTTACTTCCATTCTGCTTAATCTCTTAACCAGGTTTTAAAGAGAAAAATGTCTTTGCCACCTTGCTCTCAGCAGAAAGAAGCTGAACTTGTAACTCCAGCTAGTTCACACCTTCAGACCTTTGGTGGGCTACTTGTGGAAAGCTGTCACCAGCCAGAAATTTTTTAGATGGTGATCGGGCGGGATCACTGCTGCGTCTGTTTCTTGGACATCTCATTGATTCATGTGAGCTTCTCAGAACAGTGGGGAGCTCACGCTGAATGATCCTATGCATTTCAGGGAACCTGGAGGTGGGGGCCTCACTTATGCAGCCACCCAACTTGTCCTTGCTTGAGTCCAGTCCAAATGAGCAAAATCATGTTGATTATTCTAAAGGGAGGATTCTGATGCTCTGCTCTACTGGGCACCGGGGCATGTCTCATCAGGAGTTTTTTATGTAAAATTTTTATGTATGCCTATTATTTTAAAAATGCACTAAAACTGGGATGGGCCTCAGAGCTGGTATCAATTTTAAAGGCAACGTGAAACAAATCAGTAAAATTGTCTACTAAATTCAGTAGTGAAACGTCTGCATTATTCTACATTCCCAACCGATTTTAACTTTTACCAGCATGAATTTAAAATACACTTGAGCAATTAATTGGGATAGCGTGAACCTGCTTTACTGAACTTGGCGTGCCATCTCAGACTTCTTAATCATGTTTATGGTTGTACCGCTGAAAATCCAGATTTTATATTTTTCAAAATTTCTACTCAGGGCAAGCTGGCAAACTTGTTTTTATACTTCTCGGTTATTTTAAGCTGTTTATCTCATTAACGATCTTATCTATTTGCATTGACTTTGTATAGAGAATTTCAAGTAGAAGTTGCAAATGTAATGGCTGTAATGACAGATGCATTATGCTTCTCTAGTTAATAAAACTATTAGAAAACTCTCATCACCAGTAAAGTGATGTGCTTCACCTTCTGAATCTGGAGCTCTGAATACAGGTAGTCCTCGATTTACAGCCATTTCTTTAGTGGCCATTTGAAGTTACAACAGTGCTGAAAAAGTGACTTACAATCAGGCCTCATATTTTGCAGCATTGCCATGGTTAGAATTTGGACATTTGGCCACTGGCATATATTTTTGACAGTTGTGGTGTCCAGGGGTCATGTGACTGTCAAATCATTTAGAATGGAATGGAATCTCAGGGTTGAAATGAGGGGTCCTTGATAGAGAGCAGAGCAGAGCTGGAAGGGACCTTGGAGGTCTTCTAGTCCAGCCCCTGCTCAAGCAGGAGAACCTATACCACGGGTCGGCAACCTGCGGCTCCGGAGCCGCATGCGGCTCTTTGAGCCTTCCCATGTGGCTCCCAGCCTCCTCTGCCTTTGCAGAGAGAGACAGAGACAGAGAGAGGCAATTGCGATTCCCTGCTTCTCTCTCTCTCTCTCTTTCTCTCTCTGTGTGTGTGTGTGTGTGTGTGTGTGTGTGTGTGTGTGTGTGTGTTTGTGTGTGTGTGTGTGTAAAAGAGAGTGCACTCACAGCGTTCTCCGAGGAGCTGAAAAGCTTTCTGGACGGAGCTCCTCCCTTTCCTGCGTCTCTGCAGGAAACAGGAAGCAGGAAGGGCAGGAGAGAGCTAGCTAGCCCAGCTAGGCTGTCTCAGGAATTCTGGGAGTTGAAGTCCATGAGTCATAAAAGAGACGAGGTTTTCTACCCCTGAGCTTGTTGGACAACAGCTTGAAGCTTGCCAGGTGAGCAGCGGATAGGAGGGGGGGAGAAAGAGAGAGGGAGGGAGAGAGAGAGTGTGTGTGGGGGGGGGGGGAAGAAGAGTGGTAAACCAAGGGCAGATAGAGAGGGAGGGAGGGAGAGAGACAGAGAGAGAGAGACCCTTTTGACATCTAAAATGAAGATAACACTGCATATATCCTTTTTTTACCTGTGTGTGTATGTAATTTTATTCTCTTAAAGCATTCTCTTGGTGATCATTGTTTTAATAGTATGGATATTCCCAAGAGTCATATTTTTACTTTCATTTTTAATGTGTGTGTGTGTGTGTGTGTGTGTATACATACACACACATACACAAACACACACACACACACACACACACACACACACACACCTATAATAAAGGTAAAAAAGGATATATGCAGTGTTATCTTCATTTTAGATATCAAAAGGGTTTTGCGGCTCCCGGTGTTTTGTTTTTGGTGGGAAATGGGTCCAAGTGGCTCTTTGAGTGTTTTGGGTTGCCTACCCCTGACCTATACTATTTCAGACAAGTGACTATCTAGTCCAGAGGTAGTCAATCTTGGCCCCTTCATGACTCGTGGACTTCAACTCCCAGAATTCCTGAGCCAGCCTGGCTCAGCTTGGAAACCTCTCCCTTCCCCTCAGCATGGCTGGCTCAGGAATTCTGGGAGTTGAAGTCCATGAATCATAAAAGAGCCAAGGTTGCCTACCCCTGGTCTAATCTCTCTTCTTAAAAACCTCCAGTGATGGAGCACCTACGATTTCTGGAGGCCAGCTGTTCCACTGGTTAATTGTCCTCACTGTCAGGAAGTTTCTCCTTGATTCTAGGTTGCTTCTCTTGTTGGTCAGTTTCCAACCATTGTTTCTTGTCCTGCCCTCTGGTGCTTTGGAGAATAACCTGACCCCCTCCTCTTCTTTGTGGCAGCCCCAGATACTGGAAGACTGTTATCATGTCACCTCTGTTTCTTCTTCTCTTTAGACTAGCCATCCCCAAATCCTGCAGTCTGCTTTCATATTTTTTTAGTCTCCAGGCCTCGGATCATCTCAGTTGCTCTTCTTTGAACTTTTTCCAAGGTCTCAATATCTTTTTTGGGATATGGTGAGCAAAATTTGCAACCTTCCCAACTGTCTCTCCTGACCAAGTCAATGGGGGAAGCCAGATTCACTTTAGAACTGCATGATTCATGTATCAACTGCAGTCCTTCACTTAACAATCTTGGCAAAAAGTTCGTAATATTAGGGGTGACTCACTCACCACCTTGCTTATTCTGGTCCCAATTGTGATCATAAATCGAGGACTACCGGTAGCTGCAGCAGAAGAACACAATGTAGTGGCTGAGAGGGCTTTTTCCCAACCTCACAGCCAACAGTTGTAAAGAGGGGGAGGAGATGGACCCAATCCGAAAGAAAAGCCATCATCCTCTGCCGTACCTCATTATTGATCCTGGACTCTCCTACCTGCTATATGGCTCTCCATTCATCTGACACTGTCTTCACCTTATTGAGAAACATGAACAATTTGGAATCTTCTTGTAATTGCAACATTTAATCAGGAAAGGAACCAAAAGAGAGCCAGTTCTTTTTCATGTGAAAAAATTGGGAAATTTTGAGAGCTTTCATATTGAGAAAGCCCAGCTGTGGTATAAAGACATCCGTTGTTCAAGAACCAAAGAATGGTTTTCTTCAGAACTGTCATTCATATGCAAATGTATGCAGTTGTGATTGAGTAGTCAATACACAGTTAATACAGTTAATAAAAGATTTGTTTAATTAGGTGGCAGCCCAATGGAAATTAATTAATGCAGCATACTCCGCATTCGTTATTTCTAAAGTGCTGTAGTCCTCAGCCCCACTGCATGTAATATGAAGTATAGCTTTGCTTATCAAAGCTTTTGCACTTCTTGGAAGGGATATTAGCCTTTGTCTTAACATACAAGTGCTTTTTTAAAAAAGAGTGTGCAAAATGATCAGGCTGTCCCAGATTTTGCACTAGTTGTGAATCACCCCCACCGGACATGGTGTTTGATCTGCAGCCTTTCCAGAACTCATACAATAGTTCAAGCCCTACTTGGTGTTAGCTGTGGTTTTCCTGGGGATGGAATGGGGGTGTCAGCATCAGAGGTCACAAAAGTTGTAATGTGTGAACAACCCTTTTTTCTCCCCTCCTGCAAAACTTAGTCATATGCCCAAAGGGCATTTAAATACATGTTGATACTAAATTTTTTATTGCTAGTGGCGTTTTCAGTTACTTAGCATTCCAGGGGTGTTTTTGGTTTGCAACTTCAAGCATTTATATTTTAAATAATTTCTTACTTCATGCTTAAAAGCACACAGAATTGTTTGGGAAAATAGTGTATGCCTGGGGTGTCCAACTTGACAACTTTCAGATCTGTGGACTTCAACTCCCAGATTTTCCAGTCAGCCAAGTTTAAAAGTTGCCAGGTTTGGACCAAATCCTGGTTTATCCTCTACAGAAAGAGTAGAGTTCCTGCATCTGTTTTAGCACCTGAGTTGAAAAAATTATTGGCCTCCCTACCTCACGTGTCCTTGGCAAACAAATTTTATGAAATTTCATCGCTGGAGACGAATTATGTTTCACTTTTTTAAAAAGCAAACATTTTATCCATGAAATTTAACCACCAATCGTCCCAGCATCCTTTAGCATTTCAGTTGAAAAACATTTTGGCCTCAGGGCCATACGCACCCCTTATCCCAGGAACAGAAATTTTCCAAATTGTCGTCGCTGGAGACAAGAAATGGTTGATTTTTTTAAAAAAGCAAACAAGTTGAAAAATATTTTGGCCAGCAGCAACCCTCATCTTGAGAAAACAAATTTTAGAATTGTCGCTGCAGACTAAATATGTTTGACTTTTTTAAAAAACAAACAAGAACATATTATTCATGAAATTTAAACAAGAAGCTTGTCTTGGTCTATGTTTTAGCATTTTGGTTGAAAAAATTTTTGGCCTCGCTGCTGCACGCACCCATTATTTGAGCAAAATTAATTTTGTGAATTTTCATCGCTGGAGACGAACTATGTTTATAACAGCAACCAAAACCATCTTTCCCATGAAATTTAACTACGAATTTGGTCCCGGAATCCCTTTTAGCATTTCAGTTGAAAAATTTTTTCTCCTTGCTGCTGCACGCACCCCTTATTCTACCACTACGATTTTATTCACAAATGCAGTAATTGTTGACACTAATAATATTTGCTTCTGGCCACTCTGGAAATGTTAGGTATGAAATCGGAAATACACCTGAAATGAAACCTATTTGATCCTGAATGCCTCTATTGTTGCCATTGCCATCCATAGGGAAGAAACAGAGCAGAGCAGGTTGGTTAGGAGGAAAAAAGGATCCAGCATGGATTAATGTGGAAGCAGACACGTGTAGGGAGCCCCCCCTCCCTCAAAAAGAAAATCACCTGGGGAGCAGTCTCCCCAAAATAAGAAAAAGTCTCCCTTAAAATAACAATCCTTTCACAATCAGGGAAATCGCCCAAAGCAGCTTTTCGCAACAAGCTGAGTGCCTCAAAGATGCCCTTTTCAAGAGGCCACTGGACTTTCTTGTGTTTCTTTTGAAGACGTTTCGCTTCTTATCCAAGAAACTTCTTCAGCTCTGACTAGATGGTGGGGAGTGGAAGGATTTGATTTTAGAGTCACTGAAACCATTTTGGAGGTTTACCTCTGTGTCCTCGGGATAACCTGAGAAGTGCTGGAGGAACTTCCTAGTTTTCTGCCCTGGGTCCCTTCGCTGTTGAAAACAGGCACACAGGCTATTGGGGATGGGTCTGTGCTGTCTGAATCTCAAACTGAAGCACAAATGGTTCCTGTAGTCTGCAATATTTTCTCAAAATCCATTCAGGCTCTCTCACCATTCTAAGGGTGTTCATCCCAAAGGGCGTAGCTAAATTTCTATGGAGATTCTCAGTCATCCGGGTCATGGTTATCGCAAAGGTGCTTTTTCAGGACGCAACTGGACTTTCTTGTGTTTCTTTTGAAGACGTTTCACTTCTCATCCAAGAACTTCTTCAGCTCTGACTGGATGACTGAGAATCTCCCTGCCGCGTGAGTCCCGGAGCGCAGGAGCCATCCAGACTGTCTGTAGCACAGCTGGGATTCACACGGCTTCCGGCATGCGTCCAGCGCACGGCCGGGTCATCTGCAGAGACTGCTGCTCGCTGAGGAGGTGAGCAACGACACCCTGCAGCCACTTAGAAGGGGTCAGATCCAGATGCACGGCCCTTCCCCGTCCTCTTCTGAGCAGAGGCGCTACAGGTAGCCATTCAAAGGAAGATGCACATTCTGGCTAGGGGGGATTTTACAAGTTGGGCATCCGATTCCAAAGAAAAGTTACTCCTGTGAAAGAGATTGCAATTGAGAGCGCCTTTGGCCATGTACTTGCCTTGACCTGCCAACCTTCCCCACTTCCTCCCCAAAGTATTTCTGAGGAAATTGGCTTTTGACCCCCTCCTTCTTTTAAAGCAAAAGCTCCTTCCTGGAATGCAACTGCCCGAACCCCGAGCCTGTTTGGGGTTCAAATCTGCTTTGCAAGCCTCTGGTTTCCATCACAGTGAACCACTGTAAAAAACATCAAGGGCAAAGTGTTTCCATCGCCAAATTTGTGGCAGAAGTGCTGCCAGAAAATAAACCACATGTTGTGTTAATAAGGCCTTGGGATCCTTGGCACACTGACACCCCTCCCACCCACCCACCCCCCAATCCAGTAGCTGACTTTGGAGCTGTTTTCCACTCTATATTAATTGAATTTCAGCCTGCATCCATTCAAAGCATAGAAGTGTGGCTAAAAGAAGAAGCATCTCAGAGTAGGAGAGTGACCCCCTCAGCACATCCCCAGTCCCCTCCTCATTGCTGAGAGTAGCCTGATGGTTGGTGGAGACAGGGGGCATTTTTGCATCACCAGTTGCATTGTTGTGGATGCAAGGCAGAATGGTGGGGGGGAGATGGAGGGTGCCACATCTACTCCTTTAAAATGCAGACTAGCTGCAGAGCTGATTTCCCCTCAGTGGCCCCTGATCAGAGAGATCCAGGAATGTAGGTTGGGTGGCATTTGGTGCATAAAATCCCTTTGAGAGGCTCATGCCAGGCAGAAAGTATGTTTCAGGCGCCTGCAATTTTTTGCAAAGTGGAAGGCACTGCGGCCACAGGGCTTTTCAAGATGGAGAACACACTGGCAGCTGCCAGCAAAGACTGGGAGGGCCTCATCTGGCATCTGAACTTTGTTAGGTATGTACGGACACTGAGGAACAGAACAGCGGCTACTGGAAGCAGCCCGGGCTGAGGAGGAGTGAGCCCACCAAGCATCCTGGCCCAGGAGGCGCCCTGGAAGGAATCACTGCAGAAACTAGATGCCCTCCGGCCTACATGGTGGTCATAATCACTGCCACTGATGACCACCCTTATACGTGGGAGGATACCTGACCCCACTGAGAGCAGAGATTGGGAGGGGTAGGTAGGGGTTTGTACCAAATGGAGGACCTGTGGTTATTATCTTCCTCCCCCCAGTCCCTGAACGTTCCTCCTTCAGCTGCATCCTCGGAGGTCAGCTGGGCTGAGAAAAGCCGCTAGCCCAGTCTCTCCAGTCCTGGCTACCACCCCACCCGCCATCAGGGAACCTTCCTCAGAAATAGAAATGTCATCCTTCCCCCACATTGCCATCTTGTGGGGACAATGGGAATTGCAGACAGCCCCAGGACAGAAAAGAGGGTACCAGGCTGTGCCCTCAAAACTCAGTGCTCCCCGATTTTGAATTGTGCAAACTGAGGAAAATAAGAGGATCCTGCAGACCCACAAAGCAAAACAGTTAAGAGTCCACCAGCAGGATAGCTCTGGACTTCAGTTGTTCTTGGCTGCACTTCAGGTGAGTGGAGCAACGAGTGACAGTAACTCTGCGCTATTGCATCCACACTCAGCTTCTAAGGCTGACCTGTAACTCTGTGAGAATCAGTTGGAGTCTGGCCCCAGATCCACTCACCCTTTCAATTTTAGACTGAAGTGGAATTTCTCAGTGGGAAGCAATCTGTGTGTGGATCAATCATCTTTTGGCCCAAGTGGATGTTCTTCTTCACCATACTGGGTGCTACTTAATGGGTAGACTTGCAAGTGAGGTGCTTGCTCCCCAGGTGCAGCCCCAGAGTCAACACACAGATCATTTACACCCAGCTCCTGGTTGTGCAAGGGAGAGCAGAGCTTGGGGGATGGAGTTGCCAGGTTACTCAATGCCTTGAACAAGCTCATGGCTGATGACTTGATCTTGCACAACCTGGGTTTAAATCAGAGAACCTTAGGGCTGGAAGGGACCCTGAAGGTCTTCCAGTCAAGTTCCCTGCCCAAAGTAAGAATCTCATACTATCCTAGACAAATGGTTGTCCAATCTTTTCTTGAAAACTTCCAGCACGGAGCACCCACAACTCTGGGAGGCAAGCTGTTCCACTGATAAACCATTCTGTCAGATTTCCCTGATGAGCTTCTATCCATTGCTTCTCGTTCAGGTACTATGGAGAATAAATCCACTCCCTCTTCCTTGTGACAGCTTTTTAAGTATTGGAGGATAGCTATTATGTCTCTCCTAAGCCTTCCCTTTGTTAGGCTAAGCATACCTAGTTCCATACCTGGTTCCCTTGGCTGCTCATCACACAATTTAGCCTCCAGACCCTTAGCCATCTTTGTAAAGTGTCACCTTACATCCCTGACTCTGGCTGGAATTTTCCCACTGGCCAATTTGCTGCTCCCAGCAGTACAGATGGCATTCACATGGTTCCTTCTTGGCCCTTTCCAAAAAGGAGAACGTTGATTTTCAGCCCCAAGATGGCCTGGAGGGCAGACCCAGATAACCCTGCTCACTCCGATCACCGGCCCAACACCCTGGCTGAGGAATCCTTCTGTGCAGGGATCCTGGAGTCTACGTAATATCTGAACGTACAGACTAGGTGTTTCCTAGACTCACTGCAGCATTAAGAGGGCTGGCCCTGTCGCCCTCTTGGTTACAATCTCTCCTCCTGGATCTTGTCCTGCTATGATCGTGAAATTCTCACACAACGATCAGCATCTGACCATGAAGCTGCTGAAGAGCCCTGAAGAATTTGGGGTACTGGTTGACCTGGATGAAGGCCATTTGTATTTTAGCAGCTCGAGTCCTATGCTGTTCCCCATGGCACCAGGAAACCTTTGCTGCCCCCATCCACCCAGTCCTGGACGTGGCTGATCAAAACATTTCTCTGGTGTGAGACCAACACTGGGAAGGTGAGGGAAGGACATACGGTTTAACCACCAGGCATTAGAATTCAACTTGGTATCCGCAACTCAGAATGTGACTCAGAATAGGACTGCTTACCAAAAAAGGTGGCCTCCCTTCCTGTATCACTAGCAAAGGAGAACATGATGCTGGGTTGCTTGGAAAAGAGCTGGGAGGGAAAGAGTCCATGTAAAGTCTATGGAGATTCTCAGCCATCCAGGTCATGGTTGTCCAAAAGTGCTTTTTCAAAAGGCAACTGGACTTCCTTTTTCCTTTGAATCTTTCACGAATCAATCACAACGGCATATTTAGCCTGTAAATTTGCCTGGAATAGACAAACTTCTGTAATACTCCAAAGTAATAATTTTTTCCCACTCCACTATGCCTGTTACATTTTCTTTCCTTATTGGCAGAAATTGAGTGACAGCATGTGTGTGCATGTTAGTTAGTTCCCCAAATAAATTTTTGCATCAGCCTGTAATACCAACTCTGTTGTTCTAAATACAAGAAACCTGGGACAGGGATACTGTAGACTCTTATAAGCAGGGATATAGGTTTTATTGGATTTATTTTGGGTTAATGTTGTTGTTAGTTGCAAAGTCGTGTCCGACCCACCGTGACCCCATGGACATTCCTCCAGGCCTTCCTGTCCTCTACCATCTTCTGGAGTCCCTTGAAGCTCACGCCTCCTGCTTCAGGGACTCCATCCAGGCACCTCCTTCTCTGTCATCCCCTTCTTCTCTTTCCCTCCATCTTTCCCAGAATCAGGCTCTTCTCCAGTGAGTCCTTCCTTCTCATTAGGTGGCTAGAGTACTTGAGCTTCAACTTCAGGATCTGGCCTTCTAAACAGCAGTTAATGTTACGATTTGTTAAAATTTCCTCTCCTAGATACAGCTGCTGAAATCCAGCCACTTACTTTTAGCCTTTCTCTATCCGAGCCTGCAGATCTAAAAGTGAAGACAGAAGATGGTTTTCTGGTACCTCTATGTCGCTCTCAATTGGCTCCCCAGCCATTTTAAACAGGAAGCTGTGCAGTCCAGTCTTTCTTGCAGCCAAATAGTCATTCACATAATGGTCCCCTATGTGAGCAGCCAGCTGGGGCTCCACCTTGGCACTGTGGAGGGCTTCCAGAAAAATCCTCCGGTCTGGCTTGGCAAACCCCACTTCTTCCGAGGTTAAGACAAACTGAAAATATTGTCGGAGGTTGCACCGGCTCAGAATCTCTTGTACCCTCCAGTCAGAGTTGGAGACCACTGCCATGCGGATACCACGTTGCTGGCACCACTGGAGTATCTCAATGGCACCTGGGATTAGTTCCCAGTTCTTTGGGCTGCTATAATCCCGGTAGAGTTTTTCAGCAATGGGCCAGAGAACACCACTGTCATGAATTCCGGCAAGCCGGAAGGTCTCGAAGACAACCCCAAGCCACCACTGCTTGGAGCTGAGGCCCTGGCCCCAGCCATAGTTGGGGAAACGCTGGCTCTGGGATGCATGAGCTTGGGAAAAGGAGTGGTTGAGCACCTCAGCAGGGACCTGGAGGCCAAAGGCCTGGGCCTCAGCGGAATAACTCTGCCCCACGGGGACTCGGAGATGAAGCAGGGTGTTTGTGACATCCCAGGTCAAAAGCCGAAGTCTCAGCATAACAGCTGCCTGCAGCATCAGAACAAAGAGAAAAGAAGGCCTCATCCTGCCCTGATTTCTCAGGGACTGAGCATATCCTGCTCAGCAAAGATTAGAACCATCCTGCAAATTATTGTGAGTTGCAGCACTTGATCAGATAAAAAGAACAGATAACGGAATTGGAAGGGACCTTGGAGGTCTCCTAGTCCAACCCCTGCTCAAGCAGGAGATCCTAAACTATTTGAGACAAATGGTTGTACAATCTCTTCCTGAAAACCAGCCGTGGTGGAGCACTCACAATCACTGGAGGCGAGCCATTCCATTGGTTAGATCACTGAGACCAGTTTCTTCCCAAGTACCAAGAAAGCTTCTGTCCACATGGACGGAAGGAGCCCATGCTTGGCCCCGGGACTCAGCCCAAAGGCATCCTGAGTCTGGGCAAACCAGACTCAGAAGTCTCAAGAAGGGCATGACTTCACTGAAGCTAGTCCCACATGGGCAATCCAGCATATTCTTAGAGTGAAAAGATACAATTTTTAGGGCCCAAAGGAAAAACGCAGGCTGGTGATTACCCTCCTCTTCAAAAGAAATTAAAAATAAACCACCTTAATCATTCTCAGCAGAGCAGCATTTTTAAAAGTACAAAGCAATGAAGGAGAAAAAGACCTCAAATTATAAGCTCCCCGTCCTTTCCCTGGGCAGGAGTCTAGCAAACTCAGCAGCAGGGGCCAGTTTCTCATGGGGCAGTCCTACAGAAATAAACAAGCTCAAGGGGATTCAGTGCCTAGGACAGGGGTAGCCAACCTCGATTTTTATGACTCATGGACTTCAACTCCCAGAATTCCTGAGCCAGCATAACATAGCTGTCTCAGGAATTGTGGGAGCTGAAGTCTACCAGTCATAAAAGAGCCGAGGTTGCCTACCCCTGGTCTAGGGAATAGGTAGTTCCAACCTCTTCACAACAGAATCTTTTTAAGGACCCCTTGCGACACAGGGCTCTCTTAAACTCCCCCCACACACACACACACCCTTCAGCCTTAAGGCAACCGGGTCAGTTTCTGCGCTCGCTGGGCAAGAGATACATAGTCGGAAAGGGGGGCAGAAGCAGTACTGCAGGCCACTTTAGCTGACTGTGTTCAGCAGGTCAGCGGTTCAAATCTCACCGGCTCAAGATTGACTCAGCCTTCCATCCTTCCGGGGTAGGTAAAATGAGGACTCAGATTGTTGGGGGCAATGTAAATATATATATACATTGCTTACTGGTGTACACCGCTTAGAGAGTGCTCGCACTTAAAGCGGTATATAAGTCTCATAAATAAATAAATAAATAAATCGGATCGCCTCTTTCACCCACGGCCCCGGGCCCTCCGCGCTTGGCTGGGACGTTTCCTTCCGTGCATCCGGGCGCCCTGTGCAGCCCGCCAAGCGAGCAGCCGCACTAGAAGACGCGGGCGCCCATCGGAACGGAGGCGTGTTCGGCACCCCGACCCAGGGCTGCTGCAGGACGGGGAGGGAGTGATGGTGGTTCCGGCCGCCAGGCCGCCGCTTTCACCGAACTGAAACCAAAGCCCGAATTTGGGGGCCGCGGGGAGTCAGGCGGCCCCTCCGCCAACTGTTGCGGCGGCGGGGACGAGACTCCGATGCCGAGGGGGGGGATCCGTGGATGGGCAGACAGGCTGCCCGGAGGCCCCCCACGCGACCCGGCCACGCGCAGAAGAGGCTCGAGGTGCCCCCCCGGAAGGCCTGCTCGTGGCTTCGGGGGCAGCCGCGGAATGCCGGCGAACCCGCCCCTTCTCCCCGGATCCCCAAGGAGGCGGCCGCTCTGAGGCGCATCCGACGGCCCGCTCGCGCCCCTCCTCCACGACAGGCAGCGAGAAGCCCCTCCCGCAGCAGCCCCGAGGATCCATACCTGCTTTGCGCGGGGGGAACTTCCGCCCTCCGGGGGGAACCTACGGACGCAGCTGGACGTTCCGCCCGAGAGAGCAGCCCGGCCCACACGCGCCTGCGCAAAGAGCCCGTTCGCAAAAACAGGCGGGAACACAAAAATATCCTCGCGTTTCATGTCTGGCGGGTTCTTCACTGGGCGGCTGTCCAGAAGCCCTTATGACTCGTGGACTTCAACTCCCAGAATTCCTGAGCCAGCCATACTAAGCGATGGAAAACTGGTCAAATCAGATACTGCAGCCACAAAAAAAAATAAACCTCTTTAATGGCGTTTTAAGATGATTATTCTTTATTATTAAAACATTAATATTAATAAGCCACGATAGGCCTTAACTCGGTTTAAGACTGGAAGCAGGATTTCTTCTGCGCCCGTGTCGCACCGACCGGGCCTCCCGTCGCCCGGTTAATAATAATAATAAGGCGTTAATAGTAAAACTAGAGAAGAATAACGTAAAAATGCCATTTAAAAGTTTTTATTTCTTTCGGCGGCAGCAATACCCATTTTGACCACATGAGGGCAGGGTTTCCGGTCCCATAGCATTAACATCTAGGCCGTCGTAGGCCTTTTGCCCAGGATCGGGACACCGAGAAGCAAAGCCCCAAAGCGCAGAGCGTCAGCCAAAGCGTGGCCACTCTATGCTCCTTCGAAAGGGACAGGCCGTTTCCCTCGGCCTTCTGCGCATGTCCGCCGTTCGTTCCTCACGAGTAATCTCCGAGAGGCCTTTTCGGCACGGCGGACTTCCTGTCCGTTGATATCGGCCGTCCCCCAGGTCCTGTGGCAAAAGGACTTTTCTATCACGGCCGACTTCTGGTCCTTCGTTCTTAATCATTCCCCCAACTTCCTTTCGGGGAGACCTTCTCAGCATGTCTGACTTCCTGTCCTCTCAAATTCGCCGTCCTACAGGGTCCTTGAAAAGTGACCCTCCCATTACGGCATATTTTCGGTCCATCTTTCTTAGTCATCCTCCAACTTCCTTTTGCGGCTATATTCTGGGAAAGGACCTTTCCATCATGTCCGACTTCCGTTCCTTCGTTCTTAATCTTTCCCCCTACTTCCTTTCGGGTAGACCTCCTCAGCATGTCCGACTTCCTGTCCGCGCAAATTCGCCGTCCTCCAGGGTCGTTGAATTGCGACCTTCTCAATATGGCCAGCTTCCGGTCCGTCCTTCTTAATCATCCTTCCACTTCCTTTTTTTCGGGGACTTTCTGGGCAGGGCGGACTCCACGTCCGATCAACGAGGTAAGCCTTGAAAACCCCATTCAAAAGGCTTATTTCCCTTGGCGGCCGCAATACCCGTCCCATGGCATTTACCATCGAGGCCACCGTAGGCCTTTTCCACGGCCTCCATGCCGCTATCGCTAAGGGAGGAAAAACAGTGCCCTCCCGTGGCCAAGCCGGGTATAGCAGCCACCGAAAGAAATAAACCTTTGAAAATGACAAAAGGGCCTCCCGTCGCCCTATTAATATTAATAAGAGGTTACTAATAAAGACGGGGGGGGAAATAAAATCCCATTTATAAGCTTTATTTTTTTCGGCGACCGCAGTACCCGTTTTAGACCACAGGAGGGCACAGTTTTCCGTCCCGTAGCATGACCACCGACGACGACGTTCCCAGTACGGCCGAGTTCCTGTCCATCCGCCAAAGCGGTCCCCAACTTCCTGTCCGTTCGCAGCACGGTTCCCTGCTTTTTCCCGTGCTCTTTTCTGCACTACGTTGACGGAGCGCACGTCTACCGGCGAGGCCTCAGGAAGGAAAAAAGGAAGCCTGCTACTGCCTCAGGTGAGCCGAGCCATCCCCGCATTTCCTGATTCCAGAAAGATACCGGCTTTCTCTGTTACCTAGTTAGCGGGGAATCCCCACCTTCCCCCTCCCCCGCCTCCTCCCCGGCCACTCGTTTGGTCCTCTCCCCTAAGATGTCCGCCTGGCCGTTCCTGGCCTTTCGCCGCCGGTGTCTGTAAAAATGCGACCGAGAACCGCTGGCGGCGGCGGCGCCGGAGGTTGTGAGACCTGGTCTCTTTGCGCTCTTTCCCTTTCAGCTATAGGGGCTAAATTGGGAACGTAGAGACGAAGTTAGCTTGTTTTAATAAGACACTTCGGGGTCGTTTACGCGAGCTGAGCCGCGGCTTCTTTTTAGCTTCTTTTTAGAGGCGGGGCCGGCGGGACACGCTCCAGGCTTTTGGCGTCCGGGTCGGGAAGGGGGTTCCGACCCGTCTCGGGGGTCTCCTCGAAGGCTGCCAAGCAAGGCAGCCGTTGAATGATGTTTTCCTAGCGCCCGAGTCCCGGATGTAGAAGAACCAGTTTTATCGCGCTTCCCTGTATTACACCTTAAGAGGTGCGCCTAAAAGAGCACCCCGCTCGCCCCCTTCAAGCAAATCCAGGTGTTTTTATTCAAGAATAGATTTGTTTGTCCTGCCCTGCTATTTCTTTAGGGAGATTGTACGTATGTAGGTTTGTATTTAGGTTTGATGTTTCTAAACTATATTTCTTAGAGATCCCTATGTATTAATATAGGTGCAATATCAAATCTCTATTTGAAATTGTGTGCATTTTTATTAAGAAACGATCAATATAAAAATAAATGCAGTTTATTTGGAAAATGTGTATAACCTATCGTTCCCTTCTAGGTTTATCATTTAAAGGATGGATAAAAGGGATGAGACGTGAGAAGCTGCAACTAATGGCTTTTACTATTTTGTTCGCCGTCCATCTAACTTTGTAGACCTTCGTCCAAAACAAGTCAGGGTTAGGAAGGGTAGGAGATTCCTTCCTTTCCTCTCCAGGTTGCCGTAAACAGCCCACCCACCGCCCAGAGGTAAGAGAAAGGAAAAGCAGGTCTCTCTGGGGGCAGCAGGAGACCTGGGTCTTTGCAGAGTCTGGCTTGCAATTTTGCTAACTTCCCCCAGTCACAGCTGCATCGACTGATGTAGCGGCCAGGAGGAAGGGTGGGGACGCCTGCCGGATGAAAGCTTCAGCCTTTTTGGAAAAGGCAGTGGAGAAAGGAGGTCACGCTCCCTGGATTTCCAGCCTAGAGCCTCCGCCGGATGTGTGACCCCCCACCCCTTGCTGTGGCTGTTAAGAAGCAACTGGGGGAAAACAGGTAAGTTGTCCTTGAGTATCCCCCCCCCCTTTTTTGCCACTTTCAGTGAGGTTAAGGCTTTTCCTTTTAAAGAGACAGGGATGGAAATGGAGTAAGGTTGGGAGCCCAGTAAAAACCCCAAGAGGAAGCAGGAAACAGGGTGGGAGGTTGCGATTGCCACTGCTCCTCTCAATATTGCAGTTTTGGTGGGAAATAGCGGGACGGACCTCTCCAAGGGCCTTCCCACTAGCAGAGCTTGGCAGTCTACCGGAAAGGGCCTTTTCTGGCACACCAGGCAGGCCGTGCGACAGAATCTTTGGGTGATGCTCACGGGCCCCGCTTTCCGGGCATTTAGGGACAAGGTAAGAACGCATCTCTTTGGCCGAGCTTTTGATTTCTGAGCAATCCTCTTGTGTAATTTTAACAGCGATTTCAATTGTGTTGATGTGGTTTGTAGATTACAGCGTTAGCGTTTTATGAAACACTTTGATGGCAGAAGAAACAAAAATCGGCAACAAACTCGGAGTGCTTGGGTATGGTTAGGAGGGCACTGACTTTTCTAGGCTGCCTTATCTATGTTTCCTGGTAAAATACATGGGAAAATCCCATTGGAGGAAAATTCCACTTAGGGATAGGGTTACGTCACCATGAACTCCTAGATCAAATTGGACATCACCAACGAACTCAGAGTGCTTAGGTATGGTTAGGAGGGCACTGACGTTTCTAGGCTGCCTTATCTATGTTTCCTGGTAAAATACATGGGAAAATGCCATTGGAGGAAAATTCCACTTAGGGTTAGGGTTACGTCATCATGAACTCCTAGAGCAAAATGGACATCGCCAACAAACTCAGAGTGCTTGGGTATGGTTAGAAGGGCACTGAGTTTTCTAGGCTGCCCTATCTATGTTTCCTGGTAAAATACATGGGAACATCCCATTGGAGAAAAATTCCACTTAGGGTTAGGGTTACGTCACCATGAACTCCTAGAGTAAAATGGACATCGCCAACAAACTCGGAGTGCTTGGGTATGGTTAGGAGGGCACTGACGTTTCTAGGCTGCCTTATCTATGTTTCCTGGTAAAATACATGGGAAAATGCCATTGGAGGAAAATTCCACTTAGGGTTAGGGTTACGTCACCATGAACTCCTAGATCAAATTGGACATCACCAACGAACTCAGAGTGCTTAGATATGGTTAGGAGGGCACTGATGTTTCTAGGCTGCCTTATCTATGTTTCCTGGTAAAATACATGGGAAAATGCCATTGGAGGAAAATTCTACTTAGGGTTAGGGTTAGGGTTAGGGTTAGGGTTAGGGTTAGGGCTAGGGCTAGGGCTAGGGCTAGGGCTAGGGCTAGGGCTAGGGCTAGGGCTAGGGGTTAGGGGTTAGGGGTTAGGGGGGTTAGGGGGGTTAGGGTTAGGGTTAGGGTTAGGGTTTAGGGTTTAGGGTTTAGGGTTAGGGTTAGGGTTAGGGTTAGGGTTTAGGGTTAGGGTTAGGGTTAGGGTTAGGGTTAGGGTTAGGGTTAGGGTTAGGGTTAGGGTTAGGGTTAGTTAGGGTTAGGGTTAGGGGTTAGGGGTTAGGGTTAGGGTTAGGGTTAGGGTTAGGGGTTAGGGGTTAGGGTCAGGGTCAGGGTCAGGGTCAGGGTTAGGGTTTAGGGTTGGGTTAGGGTTAGGGTTAGGGTTAGGGTTAGGGTTAGGGTTAGGGTTAGGGTTAGGGTTAGGGTTAGGGGCTTAGGGGCTTAGGTTAGGGTGGTAGGGTTAGGGGGTTAGGGGTTAGGTTTAGGGTTAGGGTTAGGGTTAGGGGGTTAGGTTAGGGTTAGGGTTAGGGTTAGGGTTAGGGTTAGGGTTAGGGTTAGGGTTAGGGTTAGGGTTAGGGTTAGGGATAGGGTTAGGGTAAGGTTTAGGGTTAGGTTGGGTCTAGGGTTAGGAGGTAGGTGTTAGGTAAGAGGGTTAGGGTTAGGGTTAGGGGTTAGGGTTAGAGGTTAGGGTGTTAGGGTTCGGGTGTTAGGGTTAGGGTTAGGGTTAGGGTTCGGGTAGGGTTAGGGTTAGGGTTAGG